TATGGGATTTGGTGGAGAACGGAGTTGTTGAAGGTGACGATGCAACTAACAAAGAAAGTTACAAGAAAGATGCTAAAGCTTTATTCTTCATCCAACAAGCAGTAGACGAATCTATATTTCCAAGAATTGCATCAGCCTCTACAGCAAAAGAGGCGTGGAATGTACTTAAGAATGAATATCAAGGATCGGGAAAAGTTATTACTGTAAAATTACAGTTTCTGAGAAGGGATTTCGAAACCGCCAACATGAAAAGCAATGAAACTGTACAAGCATATCTCGCAAGGGTTTCATCAGTTGTTAGTCAAATAAGAGCATATGGCGACAAAGTGACAGATGAAACTGTGATGGCCAAGATACTACGAAGCTTGACTCCAAAGTTCGATCATGTAGTCGCAGCCATTGAAGAACCGAAAGATCTCTCCAAATTCTCCGTAGATGAACTCATAGGTCTCTTCAAGCTCATGAAACAAGAATCAACAGATCCACAACAAGTGAAGAGGAACAAGCTTTTCAAGTGCAAGGTGAACAAACCAGATCGTGGTACAATCGAGGCAGAGGAAGAGTTGCAATCCGAGGAAGAGGGCGTGGAAGGATGACCACTGTCCAATGTACCAATTACAAAAAATATGGTCATTAAGAAAGTGATTGTTGGTACAAGGAGAAGCAAGCACAATATGTAGAAGAGGAAGATGATTTCTTATTCATGACTTATGTAAGTCTTCAAACCATCCCAATTGAAGTCTGGTTCATAGATAGTGCTTGTTCAAACCATGTAACAGGTGACAAAAGCAAGTTCAAGGACTTGGATGAAACTCATAAATCTAAGGTAAGATTGGGAGATGATAAACAGGTGAAAATTGAAGGAAAAGGAACAATTGTAGTCAAAGTCAATGAAAAGGTAAAAACAACTCATAATGTCAATTATGCACCAGGTCTTGCTCACAATCTGTTAAGTGTGGGTCAACTTCTTCAATCTGGTTTCTTAGTACTGTTTGATAACGATTCTTGTGTTATTAAAAACAAAACAGGAGATGTTTTGTTTAAATCACTAATGACAGAAAACAGGATGTTTTCGATAGACTTCTCTAACAACAGGGAGTATGGAACGATGATGAGCGGCAAAGATGATGTTACAACGTTGTGGCATCAACGTTATGGTCACTTATATATCAACGGATTACAGCTGCTTGCGGCTAAAGAGATGGTGAAACGCTTACTTGCAGTCAAAGATGTGAACAGCCCTTGCAAAGGATGTGCGTTGGGGAAGCAAACAAGGACTTCATTTCCTACTGGGCAAGCAAAAAGAGCCGAGAATAAGTTACAGTTGGTCCATGCAGACATATGTGGACCCATGAGAACCGCTTCACTTGGAGGTCAAAAATACTTTCTACTCTTTATCGATGATTTTTCAAGACTGAGTTGGGTTTATTTTCTCACACATAAATCAGAAGCATTTGATTTCTTTAAGAAATTCAAAGCTTTAACAGAAAATCAAAGTGGTGAAAGTATTAAAATACTCAGAACCGATTGAGGGGGAGAGTTCATTTCTAAGGAGTTCACCAATTATTGTGACGAACATGGAATCAAGAGAGAGCTTACGGCTCCCTATACCCCTCAACAAAATGGTATAGCGGAGCGAAAAAACAGAACCTCGTTCAATGATCAAAGCCAAAGGACTAGGTGATGAATTATGGGCTGAATCGGTCGCTACTGCTGTCTACCTGCTGAATTTATCACCTACAAAAGCAGTATGGAATATGACTCCATTCGAGGCCTTCTACGAGTTCAAACCATCGGTTAGTCATCTTTGCATTTTTGGCTGCGTATGCTATGCTTTGATTCCATCAGGAAGACATAAGCTTGATCAAAAGGCAAATAAGTACATTTTTGTGGGGTATTCCACGAAATCCAAAGCATATAAACTATTTGATCCAAATGAAAAATCTATGGTGATCAGTAGAGATGTGCAATTTAGTGAGCAGGAAGCATGGAGTACAAGCATCACCAAGCCTAATTCAGATTTAATTCTGGATAACAAGGAGGAAGGCACACACGAAGAGCCACTGGTCAATCCTCAACCTCAAGGTACTCCTTCAAGCTGCAACAACACAGGTTCCTCTTCAAGCAACGAAAATGTAGAATCATCTCAAAGTAGTGATTCTGAAGCCTCTCTAGATGACAGAAACAGTGAAGAAGTACCGATAAGACGAAGTGAGCGTGGCTTGATTCCTAAGCGTCATTTCCCAGTTGAAGGAAAAGGAGATGATTTTGTCATGCTTGTTAGTGATCCAACAACTGTAGAAGATGCCATAAAAGAAGATGTTTGGAAACAAGCTATGTAAGAAGAAATTAATGCTATTGAGAAGAATAAGACTTAGAAGCTAGTTGAATTACCAAAGGAGAAGAAGGCAATCAGTCTAAAATGGATTTTCAAGACAAAGGTGCATTCAGATGGAACAATACAGAAGTACAAGGCGAGATTGGTGGCACGCGGATATGCACAAAAACAAGGTGTAAATTTTGAAGAAACATTTTCACCGGTGGCAAGGTTTGAAATGGTAAGAGTTATCCACTCACTCGCAGCACAAATGCAATGGCAGGTTTTACAATTTGACGTAAAATCTGCATTCTTAAACGGGGAACTAAAGGAGGAGGTTTATGTACAACAACCTGAATGTTTTGAAGTATGTGGAGAGGAACATAAAGTATATAAGCTTGAAAARGCTCTTTATGGCTTGAAGCAAGCTCCTCGRGCTTGGTACAKCAAGATAAATGAATTCTTTCTTACAAATGGATTTGAGAGAAGTCCAAATGAGCCGACGCTATTTGTAAAGAAGCAAGGCTTAAAAGATATTGTGGTAGTAAGTCTTTACGTCAATGACATGATATACACAGGTTCCTCCCTCAATCTCATTTCAGAATTTAGAAAAGCCATGACAAGCAAATTCGACATGACTGATTTAGAGGAATTGAGATACTTTCTTGGATTGGAGGTGAAGCAAACCAAGAGAGGCATATTTATATCCCAACATAAATATGCCTCAAACATCTTGAAGAGTTTTGGCATGGTGGGCTGCAAAATGGTTGGGACTCCGATGAATGTGGGTGAGAAACTCATGATTGATGATGGCACAGGATTAACAGATGCGGGAAAATTCAGAAGCCTAGTAGGGCGGTTGATCTATCTCACTCACACCAGACCAGACTTAGCATATTCAGTTGGATTGGTTTCTAGATTAATGCATTGTCCTAGCAAGCAACACTTAGGTGCAGCCAAAAGAATACTAAGATATGTAGTAGCTACATTAAATTTGGGGATCTGGTACAAAACTCAAGCAGAATTTCAGCTCAAGGGATACTCAGACAGTGACTAGGCAGGCTTAGAAGAAGATGGAAGAAGCACAACAGGAAATTGCATCCTTCTTGGATCAAGGCCTGTTGTTTGGGTCTCCAAGAATCAACCAACCGTAGCTTTGTCGTCTACAGAAGCTGAGTATGTGGCAGCCACTGCAGCATGTCAGGTAGTTTGGATAAGAAGATTACTTGAAGACTTGAATCAAAAGCAAAAATATCCAACACAACTGCTATGTGACAACAAATCAACAGTAGCACTTACGAAGAATCCAATTTTGCATGGAAGAACGAAGCACATAAAGATTAAACATCACTTTATTCGGGAATTGGTAGCTGAAGAACAGATTAAAGTTGAGCTTTGTAGATCAGAACAACAACTGGCAGACATGTTCACCAAAGCTTTACCTCAAGCTAAGTTTGAAGACCTCCGAGCACAGATAGGAGTTGACACTTTTGAATCAAGGGGGAATGTTGAATGATTCAAAGTTTTACTTGGTCATTAGGAGTATCAGCAGATATTTTTCCTTCTTTTTAGCTAGTTTCTATTGAGTCTTTAACGTCTCTTTTTTCAGTCCTGTAAGCCTATATATTGAGGCAGTCTCCGGTTAATAAACCATCGATCCTTCAATAAACTTCTCTGATTTTTCTTAATATTTCTAACATTCTCTTCTTTCATCTTGGATAATAAACATGACCGCATCAGAATTAGTCTATTTGCCGATGACTTCTTCAATTACAATTCTTCTAAATGGTTATGGATTCCTGCGGCTATTGTTTCTAAAACGTCTTTAGATATCACATTTTCTCTCATGGCCATTTTTGCAAAGTCGTAAAAGCACATTCGTTCATCTTGAATACCTTAAGAGCAGACAAACTCGGATCGACTTACTCGATGCATAAACGACTACGTGAAAACCATTTTTCCTAAGTATAACCTTCATAGCTTACTGCTATTTCCTGAGATTTCCATCCCCGTTCAAAATTTTGACCGCAATTGTAGGAACCTTTCACATAAGTATCGGGAGTTGATGCGTTATACAAATGATTATCAACTAGTTCGGGCATTTTGTCGATCACCAGGTGAGCAACGCAATAATGCAACACTCCAGAACTAGTTCAAGAAGCTTTGGTACCAACTGTCTGGGTTTATACACCAAAATAACAATCAGAAATGATTCTAATGTCCCAAACACAAGTAGTTACCAAATGTACATAAACCCGAAACAACAATGTCGAACCTAGAACTAGAGATGTGGAAAGAAAGATTCATTCACAATATAACAACCTACGAGTATCGTAAATGCAATGTATAAGCTCAAACATGCAAAATACATAATGACATGTAAGAAGTAAGTTGAAGGTACTGATCTTAATGTTACAAAGGCTTTCTCCATCTGCCATTGATTATAATATCATATTTAGTGCCACTAAAGGAGAAACATTAAGAATCAAACGACAAGATGTAAGGTTTATATATCTCACTTAGACTAATTAAGCTATATATTTTGTAATGATGATATAGTTGTGTTTGATTGTATTATACAGTTCTTGCAATTAATAATTAATAATTTACAGTTCATGAAAAGAACTAAGCAAGAACTTTAAGCCATTAGAAGGTGTCATGGTTGTTCAGAACTTGCGCTTACCAAGACCAATAGAAGATGCAACGCCAAGAGCCACCCACCACAATCCAAATCGTAGATATTCAAGAACCACTTCAACATGCTACATAACAAGTGAATCACATACAACCATTCAACATTAGTGCTAAAAAATCCCAACTAAATGTTACACAGAACCCGCCTCCAAGGACATAATAACGTCACGTGTTACACGAAATGGAAAAGCAACACAATATGAAGTACCTTTCTATGAGGACCATCATCAGTCACGAGCAAGACTCCAACCGCCATTATGGCTGTTGTCAAAAGCATAAGCAAGAAACCATGTGTGAAAATGAATACCACCGATCTATTTACATGTTGAAGAATAGCTAAAGTGAAAAACTTTAGTGTTTTGAAAGGTTGTAATGTAAGTGTCAGTTTCTCAAGCTCCCGTTTATGCTTCCGACGTAATCCTACAAGCAGTAGCAATCAGTTAGCCCATGAAAACAGGTCATCAATTATTTGAAGAAATGCCTACCCATTTCAAAGAGCAGGTTACCTAGTGGTACCATAAACTACTTCAGTTTACATATTAATCACTGAATATACTTCTTCACCATGGGTTGAATGGGGATAACATTTCTACATTCAGCCCTACATATACACAAATGTTGACCAAACAAAAAACTGTTCAACCTAATCCATAACACCCACTAATTATCTACCAAGTAAATAAAAGGCCAAAAACTAGAGATATTGTTCAATGTGACACCCCAAAATGGGATAAATAAATAAATATTTGTGAAAATAAAGAAGAAAGGGATAATAAGTGAAAAATGGTTGTCAAATACTTCAAGTGAGAAGTCAGGGGTTGTAATGTAACTAGCCAAAGGTAGAGGGGTCTGTTTTGCCATTCTGGCAAACCTTTGAATTTCTAAGCAATTAAATTAAGTTATGTTTAATGGTGCTTTTAATGGCGTTCGTTTATGAACTGTTTTAATGAAAGAGACTTTTAACTATCCTTTTGGACCTTTATGCTTGGGAAATCTGGGTATAAATACATAGGGGTGTGAGGCACAAAAGCCTTTTGGGGAACTAGTCGATTTTTGAACGAGAGAGTATCAAGAAATCAGGCATTGAAGCAAAGCAAGGATTTTGGTGTTTGACGACGATTTGAGGTCGTCCGTTGGGAGTTTACTTTAATCGATCTACATACCGAGGTGAGTCTTCATGAGACTTTAAACTGGGATGCATGCTTAGTACAAATTATTTGAGCATGATATTATTTGGGATGCATATGTTAACGAAATATTACTTTTACGTACATGTTATACGTTTGATGCATGTATGTAATTTATGTGGTGATTTGCATGCTAATTTTTTTTATTGTTTTTCAAAACATTATTTAGCATGCCATAAAAGGGTTTTAGTACAACATTGATAAATTGAGTTGGGATTTGGTTTTACATGTCACAAGGGATGGCTCTTCCTTAGGGATCGGTGAACGGACAAGGGTGAGCCATAAAACTGGGGAACACAACGCCGATGACACTAAAACCTTTACCCCGTGGGACAATTTATGATATTTCGTAATCATTTCAAAAGGATCTTTGAAATAGATATGCATATTATTTGAGTATTTTGTTTGTTATTATGCATGATGGGACATGTATGATTTGTGCACGAAAACCATGAACTCACTGAGCTTCGTAAAGCTGACTATTAGTATGCATGCCAGGGGCACGAAGTTTAACAGTGGACAAGGGCAACGGTCATGCTTAGTGAGTTGTATTTTATTAAGTATCAGATTTTGGGATGGTTAGATCTTATGTTTGAACTGATTTTGTAACGTAACCTGGTATGGGACGGGTTAGCTTTGGGTTATTATTTTTGCATTTATGTTTTGTAAGACTTCCGCTGTAACATGATTTATTAGCCGTTATTTTTTTGGGTTATTTATTATTATCTTATGAGAATGACGTGGCACAACTCATCATGAAAATGAGGGTGTTACAGTTCGATGGGACAGACCCGGATGGTTGGATCCTTAGACCCCTGAAGAACAAATCGAGGTAGCCATCATCGACTTTGAGAGGGATGCTCTACGCTGGTTTCGGTGGGATCATAAGTGCCACCCTATTAATCGATGGGATGAATTGCAGTGAATGATGTTGTGACAGTTTTGATCGCTCACTGAAGGTACTCTCTGTGAAAAATTCCTTGCTATTAAACAGGAAGGAACTATAAGCGACTATCTGAAACGGTACATCACTTTAGCAGGCACCCTTTGCTGGGATCTTGGATGAGGTTTTCTTGGGCCAGTTCATTAATGGGTTGGACTAACTATTCAGGCCAATATCCTATGAGCCCAGTTACCCTGAGCGAAGCAATGGAGTTGGCTGCCAAAATCGAAGAAAAGAATCGTGTTCTTAGGAGAAACATATTTCCTCCTCGGGGGTGGTTGAGGAAAGCAAATCCGAGAGGAGGGGATAAAAACACGGTAATTGGAGGGGACAAACACCGTGTGGAAGCAAGGGGGAAATAAATTCCCCCGCTTCTCTGATAGTGAACTACAACAGAGGTGCTTGCAGGGGCTTTGCTACTGTTGTGATGAAAAATACAGCCTTGGACACAGCTGTAAGAGAAAAGAGGTCAACGTTCTTGTGATGCAAGATTTGGATGAAATTGAGGTTGATGAGACGACAACACCGGTGAGGAAAAAGAGGGTGATTATGAAACCGCCAAAACTTGAGCTTCACTTGAATTTTGTGGTGGGATTCACCAACCATTGGACAATGAAAATAAAAGGCTCCATCAACGGGAAATAGATTGTGGTGCTGATCGACAGTGGGGCAATTCATTATTTCATATCGAAGAAATTAGTGTCACAACTAAGGCTGGTGTTTTCTGGTACAAGTAGCTATGGAATAACCATGGGAACCGGTGGAGTAGTGCAAGGAGAAGGAATATGCAGAGGTGTAAATTAAGCCTACAAGGAGTGGAGATTAATGAAGAGTTTCCACCCCTTGATCTTGGAAACTCCGATATTATATTGGGAGTTCAATGGCTAGACACTTTAGGAACCACCCACTCTAATTAGAAAAACTTAACGGTGAAGTTCGAAAGGAGAAATGAGATGGTGAAGTTATAGGTCGACCCGTCATTGGGCCGGTCGCTGACATCAATGAAAACACTGGAGAAATCTTTTAAGCAAGAGAAACAGGGTTACCTAGTGGAACTTGGAATGCCCACTTCAAAGGAATCAACCGGAGTCTGCCCAGTGGAGTTAGAAGGGCTGTTGGAATAATATGACATGATATTTCACATGCCGATGGGATTGTCGCTTGAAAGAGGGAAGGTGCACCGTGCTACTGGGAGGGAGTGGACCATTAAATGTCCGTCTATATAGGTATCCTCAATACCAAAAGGATGAAATCGAGAAACTTATTAAAGAGATGTTGATAGCAGGGGTTATTCAACACAGCAACAGCCCTTTCTCGAGCCATGTCCTGTTAGTGAAGAAGAAAAATGGAGGCTGGAGGTTTTGCGTAGTTTATCGAACATTGAATAAATGCACCGTCCCATATAAGTTTCCTATACTAGTCTTTAATGAGTTGCTAGATGAGCTGTTTGGTGCTAGCGTTTTCCAAAATTTGATCTCCAATTGGGGTACCATCAGATGGAGGATGATGTGCCCAAAACAGCCCTCATTACGAATTTATTGTCATGCCTTTTGGTTTGATCAACGCCCTTGTGACATTTCAGCGATTCATGAATGGCATTTTTAAACCTTACCTTCGGAAATTCGTGTTGGTCTTCTTTGATGATATCCTAATTTACAGCAAGGGGATGGAAGAACATGTTATCCATTTGGGAAAGGTTTTTGAGATCCTATCCCAACATCAGCTTTATACAAATAGAAAAAAATGTGAATTTGGGCAAGGACGGTTGACGTACTTAGGCAACATAGTGTCTGGAGCAGGGCTGGAGGTTGATCCTACCAAGATTCATGCGATGTTGGATTACTGCCAGGGAACATCTCAGAATTAAAGAGATTTCTCGGCTTAACAAGCTACTATAGAAAGTGTATTGCTGGATATGGGAAAATGGCAACCCGTCTAAACGGATTTGTTAAAAGGAATAACAATTCGTCTAGAATGATGCAACCAATCATGCATTCCACAAAATTAAAATGGCCTTGTCGACGGCCCCAGTTCTTCGTCCACCAGATTTTTCCCAAGAGTTCATTCTCGAGACTGATGCTTCAGGTTTCGGATTAGGGGTTGTCCTGATGCAACAAGAACAACCCATGGCATACTTTAGTCATGCGTTAGGACGACAAGTGCGTCAAAAGTCTATATATGAGAAGGAACTCATGGCTATAGTACTTGCAATTCTGAAATAGAGACTTGTTAGTAAAAAAGTTAATAGTCCAAACAGATCAACGGATGGTTGAGCCAAAGTTAGGAGTAGTAACAAGGCGGCTAATGCCTTATCATGAAAAGAGCCCCTCACTGAATGCTCTGTCCTAGGGGGCCGCAATGGAGGCAATAGGACGAGCTACGCAAGGAAATTGAAGAGGATTCCTTCTTGTGCAAGCTTAAAAATGATCTGATGTCATCTAACAGCAGACTTAAAGGGTTTGTTATCCAAAAGGAATTGTTATTGTTTAAGGATAGATTAGTTTTTCCCAAAAATTTAGCCTTATTACCAGCATTGTTTGAGAAGTTTTGTTATTCTCCAAAGGGGGTCATCTGGGGGAGGACAAAACCTATCAGCGCATTGCTTCGGAGGTTTTTTGGATTAGAAGGAGGAAGGACATAACTGAATGGATGCAGAAATGTGATGTTTACCAAAAAAATAAAAACTTATCAGGGTCACCCACGGGGTCGCATAAGGCTTTGACCATACTGGACAAGGTTTGGGACGATATTAGCATGGAGTTTGTAGAAGGCTTACCAATGTCGCAAGGGCTCAATACAATTCTAGTGGTAGTGGACCAGCTTAGTAAGTACACACATTTTCTAGGTCTTAAACATCCATTCACAACACAATTGGTGGCAGGAATATTTTCCCGAGAATTGTAAGACTCCACAGGGTACCTCACACCATTGTCACAGACCGAGGCAAGTTGTTCCTTGGTACTTTTTGGAAGGAAATTTCCCACCTACAAGGTAATAAGCTTTCTTATAGTTCGGCGTACCACCTGAAAAGTGACAGGCAAACAGAGGTCGTCAACCACTGTTTGGAGTAGTACCTGCAGTGTATGGTTTTAGAGAAGCCTAAACAATGGGCTAAGTGGCTAGGGTGGGCGTAATACTGGTATAACACTTTTTACCATGCTAGTTTGAAGTGTTCCCTTTTTAAGATCCTCTATAACCGTGAAACAGGAAATAATCTTGAGGGGGTTATGGTGGAATAATAAATATTTTAGCAAGAGTCTGGTATTTCTGTTATTTATGTTTTCTCTTAGTGAGGTAATGCTTTATGTTAGCGTAGAGGACCACAGGGTCCATTATTTGCCTGCTTGCAATAATATAAATAGTAGAGTGTGAGTGTGAGAGAAGGCATTTGTTTCGACAATGTGGCTTGAGCCAATTTTGGGAGAAAACAAGCTTCTCGAATTGAT